GTATTTTTAGTAGAGACGGGGTTTCACCGTGGTCTCGATCTCCTGACCTTGTGATCCGCCCGCCTCGGCCTCCCAAAGTGCTGGGATTACAGGCGTGAGCCACCGCGCCCGGCCAGACTGTTCTTTATTCTAGTTCATTTTTTGCGTTTCTAAAACAGAAAGTGATCATGTGTGACTTTTTTCATTCATGAACAAATGACTCTGTTCATGTGTTTACTGAAATGTGGCTTTTTGTCGCCTTTGTGGGGTGTGTAGGCTGGTCCTGGCAGCGCGTAGCTGTTGACTTGTGGAAAGCTATGACCTGAGGCTGTGGGTCTGAGAGCCCCAAGCAACAGTTTCTGAGCCTATTTGTACAGCCCTCGTGTCTGAATGACAGATCCAAGGAGAAGACGTGTTTGGGGAATCTTCTGGTTTTCAGATTTTGTGGCTCACAGAATCTCCAGCTGCTCATTTTTCCAGTGAAGAGCTAAATGTCCTTCCCAAAGCCTTTCCCCATATAGCGCATCTTATTTTAACTCCGCAGGGAAGCTGGCTGCAGGGTCTCCTTGCCAGCCCTATGGGGAGGGAGGAGAGGAGGGTGAAGGGCCTGGTCAGAGGTACGTGGGCCTGGAAAGGCTGCACACCATACACCTGGTCCCCAAGCAAGCACGTCTGCAGAGGCATCCTGCCCGCGGAGCCAGCCAGAGGCCAGACAGATCCTTCTCCTCTGGGGTGCACCTCTTCCCTCTGACCTGGGGTGCTGCGTACTCGGCAGCCATCAGCCGGGTTTACCAAGGGGCGCCCGTGTGGCCCAACACACCTGAGTATGCCCTGTGGTATTTTATGATTTCAAATCACCTTTAGTCTATTGGCAAAACATTTTATCAACAGCCCAGCTGACATCCATTTTCAGTTTCTTTTCTTTTAAATTCTCTACTTTTTCAAATTCAAGTTTTAAAATATGTTCACCATCTTGTCAGGCAAACTTGCATATCAGTTATACAGTAACTCGACGGTACCAGGCCCTGGTACCAGAAGAAGGTTGAGGCAACACGTTTAGTCCAATGAAAATTTCCCCAGGCTCACACGCCTGAAAATCCACTCTTCGTGATAAGATAAAATTAAGTAAAACACTGTCTTTTATTGTAGAAGATTAAAAATGGGAGAATCAAATACATAAATAAATCATAGTTATTCAAACTGAGGAAGGTCAGCAAAGAAGTAAAATTTTAAAACAGCAACAAAAATCATAGCATTGAAAAATAGTTATTCTGCCTCTTATATTCAAGGTACTGATATATAGAGATAATTTTTCTCCTCTATGTTGGCAAGTATCTATCTCGGAAATGAAATTACTATGTACCCTTGAGAGACAAGTTGCTATAGAAATATAAATAATAAAATAAGTCTGGGGCTGTTTCCTCTGCCATGGTTTCTACAGATTTTCCCTTTGTTTTCACGACTTCTAGAATCAGTTGTATCATATGTTGAGAACATTTCTGACCCAGAGAAAAATCATTATAACCTAATTTTACAGCATTTTGCTTCACAATATCAATAATATTCCCTCCCTAGAAAAATCAGGTGAGATGCATATTTGGACAAGTAAAGCAATCCGATAAATCATTTCCCAGATGAGAAAGAAACCATGTGTGAAATGAAAGTTAGATGTTTTCAAAACCACTTCATTGAAGGCGAGGACACTAATCAATATGCAGTGGTTTTCATAATGAGAGAAATAGTGGCACGAAGGAACGTGCATGTGTGTGGGTCACCCGCCTCCCAGTGCGTTCTGTTCTTGAGTTCCCTGGCAATTGGATTAAAAGGGTCTATCTCAGCTGAATCACCAGCTGCCTTTAAAGGTTGAGGGAAAAAGCAGGTGAACTGGGGTGTCCCCAAACCAACAAATGTCCTCTGGGAACCTCAACCTGTCCGTGTTTACAATGATGGTCTAAGATGTATTTTTAAATTCTCAATACATCTTTGATGTATATATTCAATATTTATTATATGAATATTATACATTTGTATTTCTACAAGGTGAAACAATCTAATAATAAAACCAACTTTTACCTTTCGAGCCTGCATAAAGTAATGTGTTTAAACAAATCTTGTTCTTCAAAGTACTCACTTTGGAATGTTTTCAAAAATAGCTCTTTAGAATTATTTTCATGAGCTAGTTTTAGAAAGAAAATCATAAAAGAAAATCAATCTGTCAAAATAATCTCCCTCCCCATACACACACACACACACACACACACACACACACACACACCACACACACACACGGATCGATAAAGGATAGCTACTGAATGTAGTGTTAGTATATCAATTCCCAAGTATTTAAATACACAAGTCAGAAGTATTTAAGTAGAAAATTTTTGAAATCCACTTGACTCACGGACAGGAAGCTTTGGATCAAATTTGAAGTTCAGCTGTCACAATGATCGAGGCACTTACATCCTGTACATTTTGATAGTTTTCCTCCATAATTTTGTTTTCCCAGATGGGGATTTTTCATTTCTTTGGTACTTTTTCATAATCTTGCTAAATAGACTATATCGCATGTCATCTAAATTTTATTTAGTAAAGATTTAAATATTTAATATACAATACTTAGAGTAAAATGGGAAACAGGAAAGGTTAATGATTAGTCTGTACTTATATTTCTTCACAAGGGTAACTTGTAATCTTACAGTGCTAAGTATTTCCCTCAGTGCTTTTCATTTCTTTCCTCATTTGATTCTCAGATGTCACATAACTCGGACAGTCCCCTGCATCACCTAGAGGAAATTCTGACTCAAAACTAGGCCAAGATACAATAGAAACTCTGAATGGAATCTTTTTTTTTTTTTTTTGTAATTTCTTTGGTAGGTGCATTTTTGGAATACAAAATACACATGGTAAAAATTGTATATATATAAATTAAAATTTTAGTCTGAGCTCAGAACTGGTTCTTATCACTGTGAAATCTGTTTTATTTTTATTCTCTCTATAATGACAGCCCTAAAAACCATAAAGTCCTTTTCTATGAGGTAATGATTGTTTCAAAGCATTTCTGAAGACTATGAAAGTGCTTAACTGTTTACTTGCTCCTAAGAGACAGTAAACAAATACTGCTGAATGTATGAGTAATGATGTCTGGGAGTGCTGCTTTTCAATGCAATCATTGTAGAGCTCATGACTTCCCGAATTCTAATTTGTTCAATGTTTACATCAGGGCAGAGCATGAGAACTGGCCCAGGATTTCACTGAGGGGCAGGAGTGAGCAGAACAGGCCAAACCAGAGGAAAACAGGAGACTACGCCGGGTGCCCACAGCTACCCGGTGGCGGCACCTGGGGCACGTGTTGTCAGCCTGTGGATATCCCTCGGCAGGTCCTGGGCACTGCTCTCCCTCGCACAGAAAGCCCTGCTGGGAGCCAGAGGGCCAGGATCTGTTGCTTTTCTCCCAAAGCCCCGGCTCAGTGGCGCCAGCATTGAAGAAACCTCTACCACACAAAAAGCACACCGAGGATCCACAGCTTTCTTTGACAAATAATCTTTAAACTTATGCAAATAAATTACCCATGGCTACAGCTTCGTTTTGAATACCACAGAAACCAAGAGTCAGAAAAGTTAACAAGCCTAAGGTCTTACAGTGAGGACATGATGGAAGATAGTGTGAACACAGTTCCTTCCCTTCCATCCACAGACTCCACTATGAAATACTTTCCTCACAAAGTGCGACGATAGTGCCGACTGCAATGTGCGGTTCTGCAAAGTGCAATCTCCTGGAATTCTTGTTCACTTTAGCACTGAAACAAACCAAGACCTTCTCACGGGTGTGATGACACACTCACTCCTGCTGAACTTCTCTTTGCTTCTCTCCTGTTATGTGTCTGCTGTTCCTAACACGATTTATCACGAACATAGCTCTGTTCTATTTCCCCTCGGAGCTGTCCTGTAAATTCCTAAGACACAGCTGTAGCATTCCAAGCCCTCTGGTATTCAGAACGCCTCACGCCCCAGCACTGTGTTATTTTATAGCTTCTCTCTTAGCCTCTCTGTGCAGCGCCTCGAGCTTTTATTGCTTGCTGCGTTTTATGGGTTTCTCCAGGCCATGTATATTCATCGTGTTATAGAAATAATAACATATTAGGCAGTAAAATATTAGGCAGTAATACTGAGGTTGGGCAGTAAATTTTCGAAGGGGTGGGTATGGTTTTCCATGAGAACTAAAGGAAATAGAGAGACTTGAGTCTTCAGAGCTCTAAGATGATTAGTGCAGCTGCATTAATGATGTACCTGCTTAGCGGTGGTGAGTCGTGTTTACAGATCTGTTTACTGAGCAAGAGACTGTCTGCACGTCGCTACCGGGGAGCCTGGGCGTCACCACTCATCAGCTGAGGTCTCACTGCAATCCATTACACTTTGATATTTAACACTTTTTTTTTTTTTTTGAGACGGAGTCTTGCTCTGTCACCCAGGCTGGAGTGCGGTGGCCGGATCTCAGCTCACTGCAACCTCCGCCTCCCGGGTTCCCGCCATTCTCCTGCCTCAGCCTCCCGAGTAGCTGGGACTACAGGCGCCCGCCACCGCGCCCGGCTAGTTTTTTTTTTTTATTTTTTAGTAGAGATGGGGTTTCACCGTGTTAGCCAGGATGGTCTCGATCTCCTGACCTCGTGATCCGCCTGTCTCGGCCTCCCAAAGTGCTGGGATTACAGGCTTGAGCCACCACGCCCGGTCGATCACCTTCCAAATGTTAGCACTTCCATTTTTTCCCTCCTCTCTGAAACTTTATACTAGTTACACTTGGTTATTTTAAGGAAACTTGATAATTAGTTGTAAGAAAAAGAAAGGTTAGCTACAAGAGACAAAACACCCTTGCGAATGCGACGGTGTAACGAACGCAATTAGGAAATGTTACTAAACGTCAGGAGGGTACATTGTGCCTGTGATGCGGCTCCTCGCTCCTTCTAGGAGGAAGACAGGCAAGCCTCTAGAGGCCCCGCTGAAAGGCTGAAAACGGCGTTCCCTTACCTGCTGTTGACCTGATGGTGGAGGTGATGTCAGAGGGTGTCATCATGGGAATACATTCGTCATCTTGGGAGTAGCCGGCTTGAATGGCTCGAAGGTAGCTGTGACTCCTTGTTCGGAAACATCCCGGGAGGTCGAGGGCGTCCATGGCCTGAGATTCGACTTCACTGAAGACGGACTCGCACACGGACTCGAACTGCCCATTGATGTCCGCCTCGCTCACCTGCAATCATCAACAGCACAAGTGATGCCCCGGCCTCCAGGGTCACCGTCACATTACAGAAGAGCCAGGAGACAGCACTCATTCCCGCGCTCCCTTTCACTGCCTCCTATTTCAGCCCAGTGAACCCGAAGTCAGCACGGACAACGGCTGAGCTTGGGGAAGAGATCACTGGGTTATATCCCTTACAAAACACTTAGGCAAACAGCCAGTCCCAAACGTTGATGAAATTCTGGGGGACCACAAGGCGAACCTTCGAGGTAAGGTTGACAGTTTTTACAAAGTTTAAGAGAGAGAGAGGACTTTTAAAAGATTAGCAAAGTACCTGGTACAAAGTAACTGTTTAGAATCCATTTCTTCCTTCCCTTTCCCACATGACTGTCCCACCTTTCCAAGCTACTAATGGCATGATGGCTCCGGGCACTGAGGCCGTGTAAGGAAAAGCCCATTCAGTGCGTACACTAACTACTCAGTTCCTTTTCAGAATACGGAGTCTGCTTCTACCCATTGCCACGGCAACTCATCACAAATTTGGCTTCTAAACTCATCTCCTTCTCACCATTACGGCAACAATCTGAGTCCAGATGAGAAAGAAATGGCTGTACTGGTGTTTTTGTCCACATGAAACGTGCTACTTTACCTAAATTCCAGGCTTTCTTATTCTTCCTTAGCTCAGGATATTAGTATACTCACTCCTTCCTTCCTTCCTTCCTTCCTTCCTTCCTTCCTTCCTTCCTTCCTTCCTTCCTTCCTTCCTTCCTTCTTTCCTTCCTTCCTTCCTTCCTTCCTCCCTCCCTCCCTCCCTCCCTCCCTCCCTCTCTCCCTCCCTCCCTCCCTCCCTCCTCTCTTTCTCTTTCTCCCCTCACCCCCTCCCATTCAGATTATTTCTCTTCTTGTTTCTCCTGGGGATGTGTGAGAGCTCAAAGCACCAACAACTTTCTGAACTCCCTGGATTATGTTGGCAGATACATTTTAAAAATATACTGTTTTAAACACCAGATTTGTTCTTTTCCTCTAGTTGTCAGCAGAGTAAAAGGCAAAGTGAAAGAATCAGGTTCTCCCTCTAGTAGTTGTGTTGTTGACACAACACGACAATTGGTGCCGTCTCCAAGGTCAGACCCGTGGACTTCTCTGGTTTCACCCTGAGGTGACCTACGTGCTGGAAGGACACGGCCTCTTTCCTCGTGAGCCTAAGTCAGCACTGACCCTGGACAGGCAGAGGGTGAGCAAAGGGCAGCGAAGCCTGAAGCCACCCTGCAGGGAAGACAGGCCCACGCCGGGCTGCAGAAAGAGCTGGCACAACACTGGCAGGGTGGCCTTTTTCAGAAAGGTCTGAGGATTCCTGATGCTGGACAGAGACAGACAAACCCAGGCAGGCACAACCAGGACACAGCCGGCAGGACGGCCTCAGGAACCCAGCAAAGTGCTCAGAAACACACACACTGGCTTGGAATCAGGACGTTTTTCTGGACCATAAATTTCTTCCGATCTAAGTTTTCACTTACGTAGAATTGTATGGAAAAGTCTTAGATTGTGTCATTCCTGTCAAAGATCTATAGTAGACAGCGTGAGAAGGTCCGAATCTATGTGAGGCCCTGGTACGCCTCAGTGGACACCCTTCTGCAAGCCCGGCCCTGGGCCCAGCTGCCCTCGCTCCTAAAGAATCTCGAGACACCGTTAACCTGGTGCGTGCATTTCACAAACAGAAGCCGGCATCTCAGCAAGGACCCTTGGCTGTGCTTCCAGCTAAAAGCCTTTCAATGAGGTTCTAGACATGAAGTTGACTCCTCCTCCCCAAAACAAATAAAAAGTGGTTGAGGAGCATCTCAAGTTGGTCCAGCAGGGAATTAAAATGATCCGTTCACCCAGACCTCCCGCCGAGACTCAGGACACCCAGACCTCCTGCCGAGACACTCAGGACATGGGGACCTCTGCCCGAGACTCTCGGAACACGAGCTGCAGGAAACCCAAGCAGAGTCCAGCTACTGAGGTTCCAACGAGGAAACGGCATGGACATAAGTGCCTCTCACAAGACTTCAGTTAGATTGTTAATTCCCTTTTTGTGCTTGAGAAAAAATTGAGTGTTAAAGATGAAGGGCAAACTTTTAACAAACTTTGGTTTGTCACCAAATTCACATCTCCCTAGAGCCCTGAAGTGTTAGAAATTCCAGCTGTCCCATCCTCAACCACGGGAACTGTCCCCTCTCCTTCCAGAATTGTTGGGTCTCATGGCCTAGGGCTGGACATTCAATTAGTGGAAGTTTATTTCTGGGTGTGATACAGTCTCAGCTACTACTAGCGTTCCAGGATTATTTTAAATAACACTATTTTTTTTTTTTTGAGAATTCAGAACTGAGTTCAATTTAAAGTAATGCCACAGAACTCTGCATAGGAATGACTTAGAATTCTAAATTTCAAAGTCGTTAAATAAACCCCCAAGCACCCAACTTGTCTGCTTAACCATTGTTTCCAATGTCAATCCTTTCAGATAGAAAAAGATGTGAGAAAATGTTATTTTTACTGGCTTATTTTTGTAGATACCATCTTGGGTTCATCAAAAGCAAGATGACGAGAGAACTAGTATATTTAGCTTACGTTTACCCCCAAAAATGGCGACGAGTCGCAGGGAGCCTCTGAAAGTTTCATAAAAGTCTCTAAAGAGGTGTGAGATCCATTTAATTGAAACTTGTTTGTGGAAAGCATTAGAGATGAACGTTCATACCTCAGATGGGATACCTTTGCACTTCCGTTTAAACCTTTTGTTGGGTTACATCTGATTTTTAAAGCTGCATTTTGGTAAACCAGGTTATATCAACTGAAACGGAAGGTGCCAGCTTTAAAAGAAGAAAGTTTGCTTTATCCTCATGTCTGTGTAGCGAGAAAGTTGTTAAAACGTATCACTGACTTTCAGTTACTCTGTTCAGTTCATTAGTGTCTCCCAGAATCATCTTGGACTTTATGCTGAAACAGAGTATTTCCTCAATTATTAAAATAATTACAATTATCTAGCTGCTGAGGGTCCGTTGATGTTACTGTTTGCAGGGGCTGGAGGGCCCACCATTCCCATTTGCCCAGGACTTGAGTGCAGGGCTGGGGATGGTCTTTCCTTGTCATTGGGAAAAAGAGTCAATGCAATTCCTGCCGCAGATGAGAACTTAATCCCATTTCTGGAAGCAAAGAGGTAACTGGGTAGATAAAAGAGGCGGTAGACTTCTTGAGTTGTGGACTAGGAAAAACCTTAACAGTTCAGTGGAAAAAGTTCCGAGTACAACTTTCTGATGAGAAAAAAACCTGCACAATGAATAGACTCTACCTCATGAGGAATTTAAAGTCTGTGGCAAAAGAAAAGACTTGTGCTTACTGAGCCCCAGGGATGCTTCCAAGAGCTCATAGCACGGTCTGCAGTCAGGGGGGCTTTCATGCCCAGAATCATATACTATTACTTACTGTTATCATGGTAATAATAAGCGCTATCGTTTTTGAGTACTCAGTATATGCTGGACTCTTTACCTAATAACATCCAAAATGGACTGCATACTTATTTTGTCACGCGGTGAATGGCATCATGGGAGGGCACGGAAAGCCCAGGCTAATCCCTACTCCACAGTAAGTCAGAGAAAATGTTCGGTCAGCTCAGGCTCTTAGTCCCTACTCCACACTAAGAGAAAACGTTAGGTATACACAAACTCAAGGTCAACTCAAGCACTGTTTTCAGAGGCATTTAAATGAGTAAGCAATGTGTGTAATTAAAATGATAAAATTTCGATTCTTCTTTACCATATAATATAGGATGATTAGACTGAAGGACACCTGCCCATTTTGTCACCGTGCGTTCTCAGGCCTGTCCACCACAGGTGGGGGAGCAGGGGGACCTCCCTTTCACAGCCCCCGTGTCTCAGGGACCTGATTTTAATATGACCCCTCGCGTGGTGCCCAGGGACCCTTCTCCTGGCCACTGTGCCTGTCCTGAAACCAGCCCTGCCTGGGAGTGGGCCTGACCGGCAGGACTCTGTGAGTGACACCAGGCCCTCCTCTCACAGGACTTTCTGAGGCACAATTCAGAGGACACAGCTGAAAGCCGTGCTGCCAGAGCCTTTCCCTAGCCCCCTTTTACTGGAAAAAGAGCCTGGGAAGAAGGAAGACAGCCTGAGAGGCCAGGATGTCCAGCCTTCCAGTCATTGCTTCCCCAGAAAAAATCATCGCAAAATGACACGACACGTCGAAAAGAATAGTAAGTCCGAGAGTCTTTGATCGGTCAGAGCTAATTCCAGGCGGAACCCCCTTCGGCGTGGCCTTGCACAAGCGCTGCTGACGGGAGGGCAGTGCCATTGCCACCTGCGCACGGGGCCTCTGTGCCAGCCTGGCTTGGGAGACTGGACCCCAGGGGAAGGGCGAAGGGACCCGACCTGGCTCACGCAGCTGGCCTGGCTCAGGGTGCTGACGGCCCTCATGTAGCTCTGGTTCCGGGAGCGGAATTTCGGGGAGTTGTAGTTCGCAGCGGGGTCCAGGCTGTGGCCCACAGGCACGTCGCTTGCAGCTTGCAGGTAGCTTTGGCTACAGGAAAGAAGAAAGGAGAAAAGGTATTCTGTGAGTACCCACTGCAGGGCAGAGATGGGAACGCCCGTCCAACCCACACCGAGAGGCTGACACCCACCGCAGGGCAGAGATGGGACCGACCATGTAACCCACACTGAGAGGCTGACACCCACCGCAGGGCAGAGATGGGAACGACCATCCAACCCACACCGAGAGGCTGACACCCACCGCGGGGGAGAGATAGGAATGACCATCCAACCCACACCGAGAGGCTGGCACCCACCGCAGGGCAGAGATGGGAACGCCCGTCCGACCCACAGAGAGGCTGGCACCCACCGCAGGGGAGAGATAGGAATGACCATCCGACCCACACCGAGAGGCTGGCACCCACCGCAGGGGAGAGATAGGAATGACCATCCAACCCACACCGAGAGGCTGGCACCCACCGCAGGGCAGAGATGGGAATGACCGTCCGACCCACCGAGAGGCTGACACCCACCGCAGGGCAGAGATGGGAACGACCGTCCAACCCACCGAGAGGCTGACACCCACCGCAGGGCAGAGATGGGAACAATCGTCCGACCCACCGAGAGGCCAGCATCACATTTCCAGCGGAATGTCTGTGTCTTTTGATGGGTAACTTTGCCTTATGCAAATATTCTGAGATTCACATTTACGATTGTGAATTTCATCAAAAGTAATAGGGGAGGCTATTTACAAAATTGCCTTTGAAACCTGAGATTTTATGGCCAGGCAGTGAAATTAAGATCATTCCACATTTTTTTTTTAGAAAAGTGCTGAAAGCACTAGTAACTCCTACAGCATAATAGCAAACTCAGCTCCTGAATTTACGCCAAAAAACTGAGAGTTTCATAAAAATTATTAGCTCTCTGGCAACTTTACGTATTTAAAAAGTAACAGAAAAAATACAAGGCTCACTTTCAGTTTTAACTTATGCAAAGCTGTCCAGGTTATGCAATATCGGCAAATATAATAGGAGTAGGCTGAGTGAAATCCATTTTATTATCATAATGGTCATTTCCTTCCAAACTCCCTTAAAATAAATCAGCGTTCTCTGGTCTTCCTTCTTGCCATTTTGTGAAATGTTAAAAGCGTGGAAGAACCCTGTGAGTGTTTGGTAGATCGAAGGTCTGGCTTAGCTTACATTTCTGTCTAACTGGACCACTTTCCAGTTTTATTGACAATCTTTCCACAATGCAGCAAAATTCATTTCATTTTATCAAAAGCTGTAGAAATGTGGACAGAAATGATTAATTATTCTTCTTGCCTCTTTTGGATCATAATAGGAACATTAAATATCAGTGCACAAGCAGGTACATAAAAATGTATCCAGATGTTAGGTGGATGATTCTGACTCCAGAGCTGGGCATTAAAGCATGCACTTGCTTTTCAAATTAAACACTTGGTGCAGTTTTTCTCTGATTTACTTCAGTCTTTAAAAATGGAATATCAGAGAAAAAAACTGGACTCCATGAATTCTTATTAAGTGAAGCTTATTCATTATAGATTTAAAGTCATTCTTTCTGCTAAATATTTTTGCTTTAAGAGAAAATGTATAACATATTCCAGCTCCTACCTATCTTCCCCTCCCTGACTTAGACCAAAAAAAGGAGGGAGAGAGAGAGAGAGTGAGAGAGAGAGAGAGAGAGAGAGAGAGAGAGAGAGAGAGAGAGAGAGAGAGAAGGAAGAAAGGAAGGAAGAGAGAGAGAGAGAGAAAGCAAAGGGAGAAAATTAGTTTTGAGCCAATTCTAAATTCACTATGTATGAAGCACATGGTCTTCACGTTGACGCCCGCCGACTCCCGCTGCACCTGGGCAGTGGGATGGGCAGCTCTGCTGCAGATGTGGGGACCTGCACCTGCACCAGCAGGGGCCCTGTCCCCTCCCCTCCTCTGTGGATCCCCCAGGTCACCTGCCAGTGAACACAAGGTGAACAACCACGGACCCCTGACCTTGGCTGTCACCACCCTGAGTGCACAGGTTCCACAGAGTGGCAATATGTCAACAGTATTCTGAGATATGGTCGCAAGTTTGAGGCTCAGGTTGATGGATGCGTGGACTCATTCTGCAAGAGACCACCGCTGGCTTCCTTTGAATGTGTCCACGTGCCTGTGCGTGTTTAACACAGGGTCATGTGAAGGGGACGGAGCCCTGAGCTGTGGAGCCCAAGCTGTGTGGCCTCAGGTGGATGCCAAGAGCCCTGACTGAGGCTCTTAACTTGATTCACCTTTGTTTTTGCAGAAACATAAACCTCCTGCAAGTCTGCTCTCCTTCTGTGCTTCCTTGAGATTGCTGGTTTCGTAACCTGCATTTCTACTAATCAGCACTTTCTACCAATTACCAATTTTCTTCCAATACAACAGCTGTCCCTTCTGATTAATACCACCATTTTGCATTTTAACATTCTCAAATTGAGGCTGCCTTCTAGACTGAGAAAACCTAAAAGAAGGATTCTCACCCTCTGGATCTGCTGTCTAAACAGCGCATGGTACGCGAACGAAGGGATCACTTCGAGCCACGGCTCATCACCCTGGCGGTGGCTGCTGGACGGCCCTCACAGGTGGATCAACGTGCTTTGTGAGTCTATGTTTCAAATACGTATTCTCTCAATGATTCTCTTTATTTCAAAATGGGGTGTGACATGTAAATGTTGCCACTGAAGACAGCTAATAATTTTTTTTTAAAACATGGACTCACAATAGCTAACCTTTTCTAGGCACGATTACGCCAGAGATGCTAATAAGTGTTTTGCATTGTCCTAACACAGTTAGTTTTTACATTAGTCCTATAAACCAGGCCTCTTCCCAACCCTCCTCCTATGAATGCAGCATCAGATGCGCACTGGTGTCAGGTCACCACGCACTGGTCACACTGGTGCCAGGTCATCACGCATTGCTGCCAGGTCACACACACTGGTCACACTGGTGCCAGGTCACCACGCACTGGTGCCAGGTCAAGCACTCAGGCAGGTCACACACACTGGTCACACTGGTGCCAGGTCACCATGCACTGGTGCCAGTTAAAGCACTCAGGCTTGGCGGGGTGGGGGCAGCGCTCCCCTCTGAGTCCAGGCATCTTGACTCTGGAATTCATGCTCTAAAATCTCAAGGTCACAGCTGCTGAGTCACAGGACTACGGAGCCCAAAAGATCCCATCCTCTGACACAGACATTTTAAAAAGTTAAAAAATAACAAACAAAACCTCAGCCTCATTTGGCTTAAGAGGCTTTTTAAAAAATATTATAATGGCTTAGCATTTTATCATATAGCGTCCCAGAAGGCTGGGTTCCTCACAGTCACAGATCAAAACTCAAGAACTAGGACCGGGGGCGCCGATCGAGATGGGGGGATGCACCCTCTGGCGGCTCTGCCACGTGACACACGGTGACGCCCCCAGCACTGCTTGCTCCACAAAACCCGCCTGGCGCTTCCTCCTGAAAATCCCCCTCGGACATCCCGGGGCATTTTGAAGTTGACTTTCAGCCCCTTTGGTTATCTCTCCAAGTGGTAAAATTCCTACGGCATCCCAGGTGCCAGAAACAGAAACATATTTTGCTGTATACACTTAGTAGCTCAGAATTTTTTTTTTAAATAGTGTAAAGTTTTCTAGAATAACACAGAAATGTTTTTGTTCTAGTTGTGCCTTTCAGATGTCACTCCCCTTAGCTTGTCATCCACACACAGGCGAGAGGACAAGCCGTGCAGATGAATCCACAATCCCGAGAGAACCGCAGGATTCCTGGTGTTCAACCTTGTTCTCGCCACGTGCGAATGGTTACAGAGCTGCTTGCTGAATCCTGGCTCAAAACCTCCTCTGTGACTTAGGTCACTATGAGAAAAAACGTACATAACAAAGGTACCCTTGAAAGGGCCTCTGACCCCAGCTGTTTAGATCCATCTAAACATGCTTGAAAATACACAGCGTAAACCATCTCCTTTGTTACCTTGGAAAGCAGTAAGGATTCTATGCAGGTTGTGCTAAGGAGACATTTAAGATTTTTTTTTCCATACTAAATGCATTCATTTGAAATACAGAGAGCATCTTCTCATTTCTATAAATGGGATCTGACAGGAGAAGCTCCCAAATATAAGAAGTGTTTCTTTCACTGCATTCAACGGAAAATGGAGCACGCTAAACGGCGCTAGTGAAACAGACATTCGTGTGCACACGCGTGTGTGTGCTGTGTGTGCACGTGTGTGTAGTATTCTACCTGCAAAAGGGAAATTCTTAGAACATCTTTCAGTACACATTTTAAATAATATCACAGTGCATGACTGGATTTCAGAAAATGGCTTCTTTCCTGATTATTTCCACATTCAGGGTAAAAAGCGTTCTTGAGCTTTCTGTGCCCTTGCAGGAGATGAAGGCATGCTTGTTCCCTAACTGCACATTTTTGGGGAAAACCACATTTGCATCTCACTGTTGGCGCCCACATCTGGGCTGCCCCACAGTTACCCCGACAACCCATCTCTGGGCTCTTGACTGCAGAGGCTCGGAAGCGCCACACCCTTGCTTGGACGCCCTCCTGGTGCTGACGGAGCCTCCGAGGTGTGACCCCGCTCCAGCTGGTGAGTCCATGGAGCACCTGCTCAGCGGCTTCTGAGCAGAGTCCGGCCTTCTCCATGCTGACGACTGCTCTTCCCAGAGCCCGTGGCAGGTGGGGCTGCAGTGGCTGACTCAGGGCCAGCTGTGAGAGCCAGCATGCTCTGATGCATGATGCTGGCCCGGGTCCTAACGGGGCTGACCCCAAACCAGTGTGGACAACCTCCTCTGGCTCTCCTCTGCCCTGGTCCCACTGCAGCTGACCCTGACCCAGTGTGGACAACTTCCTCTGGCTCTCCTCTGCCCTGGTCCCACTGCAGCTGACCCCGAACCAACCAGGACAACCTCCTCCAGCTCTCGTCCACTTGGCTATACCCATCCTTTGCTATAACCGGGGCTGGGCAGGTTTGCAAGGATGTGCCACCAAAGGCTTCCCAAACAGAACACAAGGAGAAG